GGTACCTATGTATATATTTTGTGGGTGGGGATGGGACACACAAAAAGTCCAGTTTCACCCTAGAGATAGAGCATATGGGAGCAGGCTGTCATTATTTCTTGAGTATTTGAAATTTTATTCTAAACACCATATTAAACTTAGAAGGTTTAAATAAAGAAGATGGCATCACTAAAAGTTGGACAGCTGGACATGAGCCTTAGGTATTCTCATGGCCTGAAGTGGACCTGACACCACCTGTGAGGGGGCTTTCCCCAAAACTGTACTGACTCCAGTCAGCCTCTGCTCTACCAACCAGTTTATAGAAAATGCAGGAGCCAGGGGGCAGCAGGTGACACCATGAGGAAGCAGTCTGCCACACCAGAATGTGGGACCTTAAATCAGGCGCATGTAATTGTAAAGCGGGCACGATTAAAAACCTTCAGAGCTGTATCAGCCAAATCCAGGGTACAGATCTCCTTGGATTCTGAATCAACAAGCTAGCTATGAAAACATAGCATTGAGATGTCAGACAAATCTGTATACAGACTTTTAATGTGGTCTATGTATTCAGTAATATAAGGAGTTACTGTTCATACTGAAATAGTCACAGGTGAAATCAGATGATCCCTGGGTCATGAATCCATGGGAGTTAATTAATGCATCTTTCTACTTGTAATATGTTTGAAAATTTCCATGATAATAAAACTTAAAAATCTTGAATGAACACTAAAAAAAGACAAGAAATACATGGATTTTAGTATCAGGAAGACCTGGATTTAATTGCTACCTGTGTGACTGTGAGTTGATTTGTTTCCTTACCGGCACAATATAGAGGTTTCCGATTCTTCCATCTCAAGGTTCTTCTCATGAGGCTGTGTTGAGCCAGTTTCCTTTGGCCCCAGAACAGAGAGGCAGAATCACTGAGGCTGCAAAGCAAAACAGTTTATGGCTAGCTCGAGCTAGGTCCAGGTCCCAGAGCGCCAACACAGTGGCCTCCCTACGAACCAGGACCTGCCTGGGGTATAATGAAGCTTTTATCCTTTTCTGCAGTTATACACGCTGGGTACACCTCCCCCTCCCCCTTAGTCATTGGTTCCTTTAAAAGTGCTGATCGTGTTGCTCCTGATTGGCTCCTTCAAAGCAGCACGCGTCATTTCGGGGAAGGTGTTGTCGGTGTCACTTCAGGGAAGGGTGTAGAGGCAAAGTTTCAGGAAACCGAAACTTAGACTTACTCCAGGAAGTGCAGCCGTCATGGAGTCACTCCTGCTCTCATTCCTGTTTTACAGCTGAGAACAGGATGATTTTTGCCAAAAGCCTAGAAAATTGAGGGCTAGGACTACTTTGAGTGAGCTCCCCCAGTGAGATGACCAGCGTTGTGTTATGTTTTAGGAATTTGTGACCCTCAAGGACGTGCCATGGACTTCACCTTGGAAGATTGGGAGGACCGTGGGGCTGGACCAGGGGGACCTGTTCTGGACACAGCACTGGACAACTACCAAGGATCTCTTCCTGCTGAGTGAGTGTTTCTCGTCCCAGGGCCCCAGTCACTGCCCTGCTTGCTGATTACTTACACTTCCATCACTGTAGGATGAAATCTCCAGCTCCTAAGCTTCTTAGAATCAGCATGACCTAGTCTAGCTGTTCTCAGCTGGCTGACGGGACACTGGCAATGTCTAGAGACATTGTTGATCATCACTACTTGTGAAGAAGATACATAGTGAAGTCCAGGGAAGCCAGACACAAGCTTCCAGAATTCTCTCTGTACAGTCATGTGGAATGAACTTAATTTCCTGGCAATGAAGTGTGACAGCATGTGAATGCTGTACCGGGGAAGCTCGTAAGAGTTCAGTGCCAGGATTTTTACTGGGGGCGGTCACATGGCCCTCTGTTGCCTGGCATATACCAAAATTCTAGACCCCTAGAAGGGAAGCAGATGCTCAATGTAAGCCAGTGTTTGTACAGTTGAGGCCCAGTGAGCCATCATCGGTTCTGGTGATGCTGGAACCCTTCTGAAATCCAGCCTGGCCAACAGGCTTGATTGGATGACAGTGCTCTTCTCTCCTTGCAGACCCCGAAGCCCCAATCTGACCTCCCACCTGGATGGCACGGAGAGGCTGGAGGCCCTGGTGAGAGGAAGCCCCAAGCAATGGCCCTGGTGAGTGAATGGAGTGGGGGGACCCTTGCATTTACCCTTTGTCCTCAGGACCTCCATCCAAAGGCTGTGGCCAGTCCTCAGAAAGATGGTACCCAAATGTCTCCATGCCTGGCTTCCAGGCTTCATGCCATTTGCTGGCTTCTATCCCCTGTTCCCGGGGGCTTGGTGGAATCAGGACATTTGGATGGACCCTCCACTCTGGCACCATGTTGTCATCTACCTGGGCTTTTCAGCATAGGGCTGTCTTGTGTCTCCTCTTTCCTTCTGGACTCAGCAATGGGAGGCCTTCCACTCCCTGAGTGGTTTCTACTTCCAGCCTTGTGCTCCTGAGCATGTGAACCGACCCCTGGTCTACTCTTTTACCTCCATTTGTTTAGGCCAGGACACCAGCATATGCCACATCTGGTAGTGACTCAGTCCAGGCCTGAATCCACAAGCAATCCACTTGGCATCTCCACCACAGGGTCTCTCTGGGTGGATGAGGTTAGGCAATGAGTATTCCCAGGGTATCCCCAAGTGGAGAAAGCAGCAGCAGGTGCCTTACCTGGGCATCGGAAGCTCTCCTCATTGTTATTTTATCTACATGGGAAGGAGGCCCTGAATCAGAGACCACAGGAGTCTTAAGTCCACACAAATGAGTGAGTCTGCAGCTCTCTTCTTGGCTCACACCCCCACGAGCTCATGAATGTGGGCCCTCTGCAGCCTCCTCTTCAGCACACCAGTGTTCCATGCAAGTGACTAACCAGGCACAGCTCAATGCAACCTGTTTCCTGTTTTTGCCACCTCAGCATATTAACTATTTTCAACAGGCAGGCATGCTTTACTAACCTCCAATAGTAACACTTGCGTTGTTTGTTTCATTTTTGTCTTTCCTCCTTTCACAGTGCACCTCCTAGAAAGTAGAGCTTAGCTGATTCATCCTGTATTCCCCAGTACAACACACCACGTTGTGTGCATAAGAGTGCCTGTTACATCTGTCAGTGCATTCTAGGCAGGGAGAACAACATGAGCAAAGGTATGGTGGGGGAATGAGCCAGATATTGTGGGACAAAGAAGAGTGGAGGCAAGAGTGATGTGGTTTTGGAAGGCAAGTTCAATTGCGGGCTGAGAGAAATTAAGCATCCCCACAGATACTCAGTAGATGGTGGAGCCAGTAATCTCAGCGAAAGGAGCAGGCTTGAAAAGATGTGATGATGGTGCAAGATGGAGGAGAAGCGGGGTGGGGGGAGCGCGTGTGGAGACTGGAGGCATGGAGTAGAGCAGTGAAATTCATGCTCTATGGAGGATCCCAGAGAGCACACATCTTGGTTATTGAGGGTATGGGGTCACACGGGTCAGATCCTCACGGCACTGCTCACTCAGCTGTAAGAAGGAGAAAACGTACTCACCTTACAGGGGGCTGTGGGGAGTAACTGAGGCACTTCTGCCCAAGAGCAAGTGTGTCATAGTGGGAATTACTCTGTCCTGTGAGCCTTTCCTGTGTGGCAGGTTGGCCACTGGCACTGAAGACAGATAAGCAATGAAGGGTCCCATCAAAGAGCTTGCTTTTGGTCAGGGTCAGCCCACTCATACCGAGTTACAGTAAGAAAAGTAAGTGCTTGGCCATTGTTCGAGAATACAGGGCAGGGCACTTAAAGCAGAACAGGGTGCAGGGTTGTCAGAGAAGGCTTTCCAAGGAGGGTGATACTCAAGCTCAGTATTAAATGACATAGAGGGCCGGGCGCGGTGGCTCACGCCTGTAACCTAGCTCTCTGGGAGGCCGAGGCGGGCGGATTGCTCAAGGTCAGGAGTTCAAAACCAGCCTGAGCAAGAGCGAGACCCGTCTCTACTATAAATAGAAAGAAATTAATTGCCAACTGAATATATATATATAAAAAAAATTAGCCTGGCATGGTGGTGCATGCCTGTAGTCCCAGCTACTCAGGAGGCTGAGGCAGAAGGTCACTCGAGCCAGGAGTTTGAGGATGCTGTGAGCTAGGCTGACGCCACGGCACTCCACTCTAGCTGGACAACAAATGAGACTCTGTCTCAAAAAAAAAAAAAAAAAAATGAATAAAAAAAAAAAAAAAAAAAATGACATAGAGGAGTTACCTCGGGAAGAACAGTCCAGCATGAGGGACCAGTCAAGGCACAGGTAAGAAAGTCTGGCAGATTCAGGGAATCACAGGAGTTCTGTGTGGCCAGCACAAAGAATGCTGGGCTAATACACTTGCATTTCTCTTTCTCAAGCAAGAAGCCATGGGAGGGTTAAATCAGGGGAATGATGTAGTCAGATCTGTTTATTATAAAGCCCTTCAGGATTAGTGTGGAAGAGAAAGGAAAGGCCAACAAGGAGCCTGGAGTCAGATGGAGTCGGTAGAGAGAAGAGGAAGTTAGTTGAGACATTTTGAAGGAGATCAGACAGGAAGTAATGCCTGAGTTGAGGCAGGGGGGCCCGGGGGGGGGGTGGCCCGGGGGTTACTACTAGGATTCTTGCATGGAGGACTGGATGGATGGTGGTGGGGTTTTCCAAGATGGAGGATGCAGAATATGAGGTGCAAGATTTTGGTGACAGTGCAGGACAGAGTGGAGGGGAGAAGGAGGTGAGTCCAGGAGACTTTTTAGGGAACTTTGTCGGGTAGGTGTGAGGGCAGTGGTAGAGGTTTTTGTGACCTGTTGAACTCTTGTGGTTTCCCAGTTCCCCTTCTGGGAGTAGGTTCTCTGTTTTCTGTGATGCCAATTCCAGACAGGTCACTACTCTGGGGCCCTTGACAGACAGGCTAGACTCAAGATCCATCACTCCCATTCCCTGTTGTCTGTGTTCTCACTCCACAGCTCCTGTCTTTCCTCTTTTGGGAATAGGAGACATTTGTACTTTTTCTTTCAGACATGGTTGAGACCAATGACTCTCCTCTGGAGCAGGATTTCTTGGAAGAAGGACTCTACCAGGAGATTATGGAGACGCTGTCCAAAGATGGCCTTTGGAACTCCAATTTTGGAGAAGATTGTATAGGCGAGAGCTGGTTAGATAGTTTGCTGGGAGATCCAGAATGTCTTTTGAGGTCTGACATTATCACCAACAAGGGAAGTCCCACAGAATGCAAGAGTCACGAATTCAAGAGAGGCCTCAGTCCTGTGTCCCTCCTTTGCACAGGAGAGGACTCTGTGGTGCATGATCTTCCTGAAAAGAGCCTCACACCAGCCAAGTCTAAGGAATATATGAGTAACTTTGGCTACTACTCTGACCAAAGCCAGCAAGATTCTGTCCAGGGAGGGGAAAAACCATATAAGTGTAGTGAATGTGAGAAAAGTTTCAGCCGGAGTTACCATCTTATCCAGCACTGGATTATTCATACTAGGGAGAAACCTACTGTGCATCAAGAGTGTGAGAGAGGTTTCAACCTGAGTTCTTGCCTTTTTGTGCATCCGATGACTCACATGAGTTACAAATATGTGTGTAATGAATGTGGGAAAACTTTTAGTCAGAATCGTCACCTTCTACGGCATCAGAAAACTCACTCTGTAGAAAAACCATGTAAGAGTCAAGATGGTGGCCAGTCCCGTCGTGGCACAAGGCCTGTTAAACCTCATAAAACTTACATAGGTGGTAGGTTCTTTAAATGTAATGAATGTGGCAAGGCTTTCAACCGGACCTTTCATCTCACTCAGCACCAGAAGACCCACACTGGGAAACGCTATGAATGTGCCAAATGCCAAGCGACCTTCAACTTGAACAAACATTTCATCCAACATCAGAAAACTCATGCTGTTAAAGCTACCTCCGACTGTCAGGAGTGTGGGAAGGCCTTCAGGCGGAGTTCCCTGCTCATAGAGCACCAGGCTGTTCATACTGGAGAGAAACCTTATAAGTGTAATGAATGTGGCAAACCCTTCAGCCATACCTCTACCCTAAAGATCCATCAGAGGGTTCACTGTGGAGAGAAGCCTTACAAATGCAGTGAGTGTGGGAAAACCTTCTGCCGAAACACTCACCTTAATGAACATCAGCGAATTCATACGGGCCACAGACCCCACAAATGTCAAGAATGCGTCAAAAGTTTTAACCGGCCCTCACGCCTGATTCGACATCTGTCCACTCACACCACAGAAAAGCCCTACAGCTGTGCTGAATGCAAGAAGACCTTTAGCCATAATGAACACCTTGTGCAACACCAGAAAATCCACACCGTCGAAACCCCCTATGAATGTCAGGAGTGTGGAGAACGCTTCACTTGCAGCTCAACCCTGAATTGCCACCAGAGCGTTCATGCCAGAGAAAAACAAGGATTTGATGTGGGCAGGAAGATCTTGGATCAGAACCCAGAACAGAGAGAGCATCTAAGGCTTGGCGAGAAGTGCTTTAAGTGTAACAAATGTGAGAAAACCTTTACCCACAGCAAATACCTAACTCAGCACGAGAGAATTCACAGCATCTTGAAGCCCTTTGAGTACGACCAGTGTGGACAAGCCTTTGGCCAGAGTACTCAGCTCATACATCATCAAAGAATCCACTCTGGGGTGGGGTCACATGAATGTGGTGAGCATGGGAAAGCCTTCAGCAGCAGCACCTCCCTTACTGACCTTCAGTCCTTCCACACAAGCGAGCATCCCTTTAAATGTAACAAATGTGGAAAGACCTTCAGCCAAAGTTCGTGCCTCTCAGAACATCAGTTAGTTCACACTGGAGAGAAACCCTTTAAATGTAACAAGTGTGACAAAGTCTTCACCCAGAGTAACTACCTTATTCAGCATCAGAAAACTCATGATAGAAAGAAGCCCATTGAGTGTAAAGAATGTGGGAAAACATTCCGTCAGAGCTCATGCCTATCCAAGCATCAGAGAGTTCATCACACAGGGGAAAAGCCCTATGAATGTGGTGACTGTGGGAAAGCCTTTAGCCTAGGTGCTGAACTCATCCGCCACCGGAGAGTTCACACTGGAGAAAAGCCTTATGTTTGTCAGGAATGTGGGAAAGGCTTCAGCCAGAGCTCGTGCCTTGTTATTCACCAGAGAGTTCATACCGGCGAGAAGCCCTATGTGTGTAGCCAATGTGGGAAAGCCTTTGCCCAGAAAGCAAATCTAACGCAGCATGAGAGAATTCACACTGGGGAGAAGCCGTACATCTGCAATGTGTGTGGTAAAGCCTTTGGCCTCAGCACCCATCTCAGTCAGCACCAGAGAACTCACAGCCAGGAGAAACCTTATCAATGTCCACATTGTCAGAGAGCCTTTGGGTGCTGCTCAAGTCTCAGGCGCCATCAGCGAGTACACAGGTAACAAGCATCTACACTGCCTGCTGCCACTCGGTGGCAGCAGAGTCCCAGACGTCTGAGACCATGTTCATCTGATGTCAGAAGTTGAAACCATCACATTGCAAGCTCCCTCCAAAGAAATAAGTCTGTTTATTAATAAAGATTTATTAGAAAGTTTGCACACATGAGTTTCATTAAGATAATAAAAACAAAAATTAAGAAGCTGTACAACAGTGGGATTTAGAGGTGACTCGAGCCAGTCTGCCTGAGTTAAATCCCACCACTGTCTACTACCTAAGTGACCTTGGGAAAGTTGTAAAATCTCTCAGGACCTCAGTGTCCTCATCTGTAAAATGGGGATGATAAGATTTACCTACCTCAGATGGCTGTTGTGAGGATTAAACAAATGTGAAGCACTTAGAACTGATGCCCGGCATATTAAGTACTCATCCAGTGTGAGCTACAAATATATGTCAGCTCTAATACAAATTTACTCTTTTATATTAAAAGAAGAAAAGGATTAGTAACTTGTCTCTGTTTACTGCAGTTAATGTTTTTATGTTACTGCTTTTAATTAAAGTTTTACTTTTAAAAAGTTTCTCACATCTTACTCTTTTAAAATGTCTGGTCCTTTCTGGCCTTCCATTTCTCTGTTAACTGACCTCCAGAAAACCAAGAAGAGCATGTAAACTCCTAACCTGAGCTAAAACTTTCCACTGCCAACCTCCCAAGCCTGTTACTCAAAGGATTCCCCTTCCCACGTGCTGCCTCATCTCATAATTTTCTTCCGTTAAAAGTGGTTAGTTATCCCATGTGAGACCACATTTGCCATGGAAGTTGATGATAACTGAAAACACAGCTGGATTCAGTCAGGAGAGCAGCATTGATCAAGATGTTGCCACACACAAAACACATGGAAGACATGCTGGGGAGTGGGGTGTGTGTGGAAATTGTGTGCAGAAGTGGTTGCTAGAATGTTTATCGTGCACCATTTATCCTACTCACCAGGCAATTTGCTAGGCTTTGGTGAGTAAAGCCAATATAATAAGCCCTGCCCCTGTTCTGAAGCTTCTGGAATCAGAAAGGGAAATGAATGGCTCCATTTTTATGGAAGATTGCCATTAGTTGGCAAATAACATCTTAAATATGCCACATTCCCTCGTGTCAGGAAATTCTGGGACCACTAAGAATCGCTGGAGAGCCGAAAGAGATGGAAACACAGGACAAGCTCCCTCTTGACAGTGCTTTGTCAGCTCTGGGATTTTGTGCCTTACCTACTAAGTGACCCAGTAGCATGTTTGCTGAAGCATGACAGAATCCTATGAAAACATTGTTCCCTCATATTTTCAATGCCTTCCATATTTTCAGTATTCAAAACAGTTTGAGTTTGGGGGTATTTGCTCTGTACCCTTGGACTATTTAAGCCTTTCAGCTTGAGTTCTGCTGGTTGGTTTTGTAGTTGAAATGGGGAACCTTATTTTGGCAGACCATTGGGCCCACAACCACAATGGGACACATTCTGTTGTTCTTTTTTCTATTTTTTTTTTTTTTTCCACATCAGAACCTCCTAGACATGCTGTTTTTCAAATGGCCAAAACATTTCATTCCCTCCACATAGATGCTGGAACTCTTGTCTGGTCCAGAAGATGGGCATGTTACATACAAAAGGGGTGTACAAGGTATTGCAGAACAGGAAAACAATTGATAAGTGTGTTCAATGAGTTTTTACACCAGTGATAGAGATTGAAGGCTCCCTGGAAAATTGGAAGCCATTAGGTCAAGGTAGAAATGTCTTTTATGTGTACATGTTGATTGGTTCTCTGATTAAAATTTTGGGCATTTTTCCCTCTTTTTTCTTTTGAACCCCTTTGTAGAAATACCTAATTAAAATTTTGAATCTGAAAGCCTTGGTTCCTTCTCTCAGCTTGGCGCCACATACCTAGCCAGATGCCAGGCATCAGAGTTCTGCCTGACTGGCACTCATGTTCTTGTGTGGGAGGGCTTATGATGGTGAGTGTTGCCCAGTAAAAGGGAGCAGCTGAGTATGTTTTCCCAAGTTCTTGTTATTTAAGCCACCAAATCTGTAGTAATTTGTTACAGCACCCCTAAGGATCTAATACAGGGACTGAGCCTTAGATGAGTCAACACTTCAGGAGGCCTGAACCCTGCCCACTTCAACACTTCAATGAGCAGACATGGGTGAGCTCTTGGGTTAGACCTTATCTGAGCACATTTAACTTCTGGACATTGTAGTTACATGAACCAGTAACTTCCCTGTGTTAAGACAGGTGGAGACAGGATTTCTATTGATCATAGCCAGAGAATTCCCAGCTGACATGCTGGTTTAATTCACTGCTTCATTCCTCAACCAGAAAAGCAAGTAAGAAACTAAGTGAGGGAGGCATCAGTGAATCTATTCTCACTGATGTTTACAAAGCAATTTCTTGCAAGCTTTGGTACCATTATCAGAACTACCCAGAGGACACTTGGTAACCGGGCAGGAGGCCTCAAAGACATCACAGATCTGACTGACATCACTGGTTTGGTGTAGACTTTGGGGATTAACTGAGTGGTCTCCCCTCCCAGAGTGCAGTCCCTAAGGGAAAATCATCTGAGTGTGGTGATAGCCACACTGATGGCACTTGGCAGCTGATCAAGCACTTTCTTTCTCATGTCTGAAGGAGATCTTGTGCCCCCAACTTGAATAAATAGATGACAGCAAAGGCTGGGGAATCAGAAGCTCAGAGAGGTAAAGGGACTTATCTACAAACCCTAATAAAGGAACAGGCTTCAAGACCCTGATCCCACACTCCATCCCCCCATGCCACCACTCCCAGCCAGTGGCTGGGTGACCCAGCTGATGTCACAGCTCTCTAGAGGACAGAAGGCACAGATAATCAGCTCCTGCCTTTAACCATAGGGAGATAAATCATTAAGATGAGTCACCTCTCATGCAGTAGGGTGGGAGAACATTCATTTCACCATGTAGGTTTTCCAAAATTCTTACCTGGTGGTTCAGTGCAGCAATATTATCAGCCTTTCTTCATGGGGCCAGCAGTCAGGAACTCAACATTCAGCCTCAGAGTCATACTGACATCTGCCCTTCGAATTTGCCATTGTCATCTAAAGGTAGAGGAATAAATGCAAAAGAAGTACTGAAATAGTCTGGCGGTTCGTCAAAGAGTTACCCATAGAGTTGACCTATGACCCAAGAGAAATGAAAACTCATATAGAAACTTATACATGAATATTCATAGCAGCACTATTCATAATGGTCAAAAAGTGGAAACAGCCCAAATGTCCATCCATGGAAGAATGGATAAACAAAATATGTTGTATCCATATCATAGAATATTATTCAATCTTAAAAAGGAAAAAAATTCTGACACATGCTACACCATGGATGAACCTTGAAGATAGGCTAAGTGAAATAAGCCAGTTGCAAAAAGACAAATGCTGTATAATTTCACTTATATGAGGTATATAGAAGAGTCAAATCCATAGAGACAGAAGGGAGAATGGTGGTTGCTTAAGGCTAGGTGGAAGGATGGGGTTGCTAGCTAAAGGGTATGGGGCTTCTTTCTGGGGGGATGAAAATGTTCTAAAACATCCTAAATTGACTGTAGTGATGGGGTGCACATTATAAGTGAATATACTAGAAAAATTGAATTATACATTTGGAATGAGTAAATTGTATGGTGTGAGAACATATTCCAATAAAGCTGTTTTTAAAAAGAAGAAATGTAATAGAAAACAGAGATCTACAGGAGCCTAAACCAAGAAAGAATAAGATGTCAAAACCCAACACCTATGAGGCTGACATGAGGACAAGCTCACATGAGGGGCAAGGTATAAGGTAGCAGGAAAGCCTTCCAGGGCTGAAGTCTCCCCTGATGTTTCAGAGATGGGGACCCCTTGTCAGAAGTGGAACCCAGCTAAGAGCCTATCATGAAAAGCTGGAATTCAGCTTGACCTCTGGAGGGGCTGGACACTAAAGTCAGCCGCGCAATGGTCAACCTCCAATATTGGTCAACCTCCAATAAAAGCCCTGAGTACCAAAGCTTGAGTGAGCTTCCCTGGTTGGCAACACTCTGTATGTTGTCACACACCTTTCTGGGAGCATTAAGTGCTGTCCATGTGACTCTACTGGCAGAGGACCACTGGAAACTCATGGCCTGGTCTCTCCTGGACGGTGGCCTATGCACTTTTTCCCATAGCCGATTTTAGTCTGTATCCTTTAGCTGAAATAAATGCAACTATGAATACAATAGCTTTGCTGAGTTCTGTGAGCCCTTCTAATGAATTAGTAAACGTGAAGGTCCCCTGCTTTCTCTGGGCCTCAGTTTCCCCAATGGAGTCAAGAATGATACTGGGTTTAAGGATTCTCAGATATGCATCAGCGGGTTCCGCCCACTCCGGCCTCATTGGCTCAACACCACCTCCATCCCCTTCCACGCCTATTAGAGCCAATCCTTGCGCCAGCACAGCTCCTGGCCCCGCCCCCGTAGCGTCCCGCCTCTAACCCCGCCCACTCCCTGCTTCAGGCCTGCGCACCAGCCACGCCCCCACAGCCTCCTGGGCATCCGCCAGCTTCAGTCGTCTTTCTGTTCCACTCTGTGACCTAAACCCCTGGAGACAGCGCTGGCAGCTCTTCGGGCCAAAGATGGGGAGGGTAAGTAGTGAGTGTCATCAGGCAGTCGGCCTTGGGCATCCCGTGGGCCTCCCGCCCAAAGCTGGCTCCCCACCGCAGTCCCCACGTGGGCGGCGCCACCGCGGGATTCTGGCTCCTCAGGGCGACTGTCCTCTGATGGCAGAGTCAGAAGAAACCCTGGCGCCCAAGTAGCCTTCGCGTAGGTTACACGGTGTCAGGGCTTACTGGGGCTTCCGTATTTGGAGTGGAGACGACAGCTACACAGGATACGAGCGCTTCCCATTATGAATAATGACAGGCCACTGTGACTCTGTAAGGCGCCCCCCGCCCTGCGTTCGTCTCCAGGGCAACCATCAACTCAGGAAACAAACGCCCGAGTTGTTCTCCGCGGCAGCTGTCTAGGCACAGGCTCTAGGCGAGGGCCTCTCATTGCCAGAAAACAAACCTTACCAAAAAGGAAGCAGAGCTGAGAAGAGACAACACATTGCTGACAAGTCATTTAAGCACCTGGATCCATTTGTTCCAGAAGGTGAAACTTTTCAATTACATGGGCCAACAAATCCTCTCTCTTCTGTAAGCAAGCAAAATACTCTTGGCTGATAATAATTCTCTATTTCATACCATAAACCATAAAAAATCCAGATGAAATAAAATTTTAATTGTTAGAAAATTATAAATGTACTAGTGTAAAATACAAGAGAACTATTATTTAAAAATAGCCGGGCGCTGTGGCTCACGCCTGTAATCCTAGCTCTTGGGAGGCCGAGGCGGGCGGATTGCTCAAGGTCAGGAGTTCAAAACCAGCCTGAGCAAGAGCGAGACCCCGTCTCTACTATAAATAGAAAGAAATTAATTGGCCAACTGATATATATAGAAAAAATCAGCCGGGCATGGTGGCACATGCCTGTAGTCCCAGCTACTTGGGAGGCTGAGGCAGGAGGATCGCTTGAGCCTAGGAGTTTGAGGTTGCTGTGAGCTAGGCTGATGCCACGGCACTCTAGCCTGGGCAACACAGTGAGACTCTGTCTCAAAAAAAAAAATGTTAGTAACGTATATACCAAAGGGTTAATGTGTATAATATATAAAGACCTGCTTATTATAAATCAATACAAAAGGCTGCCCAATTAAAAATGGGCAAAATACATAAATAAGCAATTCACAGAATACATAAACACGTAAAAGATCATTAATATCACTAACAATAGAACATTTTTACCTATCAGATTAAAACTGTTTTAAAAAGGACTAATACCAAGTATTTAAGAAGGAAGTAGAGGAACAGAAAATCAAGCACTCATTTACATTTCCAGGAGTCATTTAAATTGGTTCATTCTTTCTTGGGGGACTATTTAGCATTAACTATGAAAATTTTAAATGTGGGCAGGACATTCTATGATCCCACAAATATACTTGTAGGAATTCATCTTATGGACATAATGTCAAATTATGTCCATATTATTATCTTAAACATAATGTCAAATAATAAATATCCAATGATTGAAAAGAAAATGGAAACAACTTAAATGTCCATTAATAGGGATTGGTTAAATAAATTAATGAAACTCTAACATGAAATATTATGCAGCTGTTAAAAATGAAGATACATATATAGCTACCTGCACATATTTTTTTCTATAATATATACAATATGTATATATTTTGTAGTAGTATTATTGTGGGAAATTATCCATATTATGTCAAGTGAGAAAAGTAACTTTTAAAATCATGTTTTTGTATATGGATATGCCTTATACATATACTATATGTAAATATATATAATCAGTTTCATAAAAACAAAAAGCTTCACATTTACAGAAAAAAGTCTAGGATCTTTGGAATGAAGTTTTACAGGGCACTATATCATTCTTCATTTTTGTTTTGGCTGAATTATTCACAATGAATGAATATTACTTCAATCATGAAAAAAGTCCTAGAAGATGAGAGGAAATATCTGGGCAAGGACTTTAAAATATAATAGTAGAGATGAGGGCTGGTGAGACAGAGCCCAAGACAGAGCCCAACACACGGCCAGAGTGCCAACCCATACAGAGCTGCTGGCAAGCCACTGGCAATATGCACAGGGTCATAGGAATGTCCTCCCTTTTGACCCAGTGACCTCACTACCTGGGAAATGGTCAGGCACTTCATCCCGTTCTATACCACATTTATAAAAGTCAACAAGAAATAACTGAAATGTCCCACAAGGGACTGGATAATGTATTGGTTGAATAAACATAACTATGTGAAACTACAAAACATCAGGTTGCTAAAGATTATTTAATGATATATTAAATAATTGACACTCACTGCTATAAAAATGTAGTGCAACTGTGGTCCTTACACCCAGCTTGTGACAGCTGAGTGAAGTTCAGCCTCTTTGGAAAGCAATTTTGCAACATGTTTGAGGAATCAGGAAGCTGGTTGGAGATGTGGTTCCCCTCATTGCCATTCTGAGAATTTTACTTCAAGAAATAATCCCCCCAGGCCGGGCGCGGTGGCTCACGCCTGTAATCCTAGCTCTTGGGAGGCCCAGGCGGGCGGATTGCTCAAGGTCAGGAGTTCAAAACCAGCCTGAGCAAGAGCAAGACCCCGTCTCTACTATAAATAGAAAGAAATTAATTGGCCAACTGATATATATATAAAATTAGCCGGGCATGGTGGCGCATGCCTGTAGTCCCAGCTACTCGGGAGGCTGAGGCAGGAGGATCACTCGAGCCCAGGAGATTGAGGTTGCTGTGAGCTAGGCTGACGCCACGGCACTCACTCTAGCCTGGACAACAAAGCGAGACTCTGTCTCAAAAAAAAAAAAAAAAAAAAAAAAAAAAAAAAGAAATAATCCCCCCAGAAGAAGGGAGGAAGCATGGAAATGCTCATTATAACCTTATTCATAATTGGAAAAATTGGTCCATAACATGTGTGAATCAGGAGTTTAGAACAAAAACCTAAATGAGGAATTGATTTGTAAATTATTCTTCACCTGCTCAATGACATATCATTAGCTCTAGTAATAATAAATATGATGTGTATGTGACAAGGACAATGCTTATGGCATAATGACACAATTGTCTCTACACTGTGATTACAATGAAATAAAGTTACATTTGTTTAAAAGTTTTGGAAGGAAATATAAACTACAAAAACAATATGACTTCTAAAGGTGGCCAAATTATGAGTATATGGCTTTTATTTTTTTAGTCCAAAATTTCTGACAACTAAACATACCATGTAGGATATAGACTAAAAAAAGCCATAAAGAAACACACCCAAGGGCCGGGCGTGGTGGCTCACGCCTGTAATCCTAGCACTCTGGGTGGCTGAGGGGGGCGGATTGCTCGAGGTTGGGAGTTCGAAACCAGCCTGAGCGAGACCCTGTTTCTACTAAAAATAGAAAGAAATTAATTGACCAACTAAAAATATATATACAAAAAATTAGCCCACATACTCTGGTTTCTCTTCAAAATGAATAAATCTTTCAAAAAAAATAATTAGCCGGGCATGGTGGTGCATGCCTGTAGTCCCAGCTACTTGGAGGCTGAGGCAGGAGGATCGCTTGAGCCCAGGAGTTTGAGGTTGCTGTGAGCTAGGCTGACGCCACAGCACTCACTCTAGCCTGGGCAACAAAGTGAGACCCTGTCTCAAAAAAGAAAAAAAAAAAGAAACACACCCAAGAATGACTAATGATTCTCTATAGCTGTGGGACTACAGGGACTTGATATTTTATTGCATGCTTCTCTACACTTTCTAAATTATCCTTACAATGAGCATATGTTATTTTGCCTCAATGTTTTCCTGTTATAAAAGTATACATATTATGTTTAAAATAAAAATAATGTTTAAAATATGATGAAAAATCTCTCTTTGGGCATGAATAAAAATGATGCTTAAGAGCATGATGCTTAATAGGGTAATAGCTTTGTAAAGCATAAATCCTGGAAATGTAATAAACAGAAATAATAGGACATTAAAGTGGCTATAAATGTGTGAAATATATTTATTATTTAAGCCAACTACAGATTGTGAAATTTGTAGCTTAAAGTTTTAAGGGAAAAAAAAAGTTTTAAAGGAAAGTGAAATCATTACTTTAAAGGGTTAATTTTTATAGCTGTTTTTTCCTTCTGAATATTCAGGCTCCAATTTAAGTAAAGATCAATCAGTTTAAAAAGCTCAGGAATAATTATTCTTATCAAAGATCTCAGATGAGGTGGCATCACTTTTAGACCATCCCCTAATTATACCACCATCTGGGGACATTCAGGGTTGAGGAAATATGTGAGGTAAACCCCCCAAACTATCATAAGCTATCCCAGCTAGTGATAAACTGTGCCATCCTCCCTCTAGGAAACAAAGTAACAAACTATCTCAAATGTGGTGCTAACATTCCTCCCTGAGTAGGAGGGGTTCCTGGTGTTGATGAAGAACAGATTGCTGAAAGGTTATTTAAGCACCTGGATCCATATTTTCCTGAAGGTGAATTTTTTTCTAGGGTTCCTAGTATTGATGAAGGCTGAACTGAACCTAACAGCAGAACTGCTAGTTTGTACATGCTCAGGTTATCTAGTCAGCATGAGTTCTCTGATGATCAGCAAGCTTTGTGCCCCAAGCAAAGCCTTTCTCAAAATCATTACATATGTAGGCATTCTGCTCAATGTGACGTCTCCGGTGTTCAGTAAGGTGTGAACTCCAGCTGAAACCCTCTCCACATTCTTTACAGGCATAGCGTTTGCCACCAATGTGGACTTTCTGATGTTGGAGAAGGTGTGAGATCTGAGTATAGGTTTTCCCACAGTCATTACATTTGTAAGGCTTCTCTCCAGTATGAATCCTTTGATGCTGAATCAAGTGGATGCTCTGATTGAAGGCCTTCCCACATTCCTTACAGGCATAGGGTTTCTCACCAGTGTGAATTCTCTGATGTTGGGTGAGGGATGAGTTGTGACTGAAGGTTTTCCCACACTCCTTACACTTATATGGTTTCTCACCAGTGTGGATCTTCTGGTGCTCAATGAGATGGGTGCTCCGGCTGAAGGCTTTCCCACACTCACTGCACTCATAGGGTTTCTCTCCAGTGTGAATCCTCTGGTGTTGAATGAGGTGGGAGATCTGGGTATAGGCTTTCCCACAAACTTTACACTCATAAGGTTTCTCTCCCGTGTGAATCCTCTGGTGGCGTGTGAGTGAAGAATTCTGGCTGAAGGTTTTCCCACACTCAGCACATTTGTAGGGCTTCTCACCAGTGTGAATTGTCTGGTGTTGAGTAAAGGATGAGGTGTGGCTGAAAGCCTTTCCACACTCATTGCATATATAGGGCTTTTCCCCCATGTGAATGCTCTGGTGCCTCATGAGGTGGGAAATCTGCGTGTAAGCCTTCCCACACTCATGACACTCATAGGGTTTCTCACCAGTGTGAATTCTCTGGTGCTGAGTCAGAGACGAGCTGTGACTGAAGGCTTTGCCACACTCAGTGCACTCATAGGGTTTTTCTCCAGTGTGGACTCGCTGATGCTGGGTGAGGGAGGAGCTGTGGCTGAAGGTTTTCCCACACTCGTTGCATTTGTATGGTTTCTCCCCAGTGTGGATGGTCTGGTGTTGGGTCAGGGAGGAAGTGTGACAAAAGGCCTTGCCACATTCGCCACATTTGTAAGGCTTCTCCCCTGTGTGGATTTTCTGATGGCGGGTGAGGTGGGAGACCTGTGAGTAGAACTTCCCACACTGGTCACATTTATAGGGTTTCTCCCCAGTGTGGCATCGCTGGTGTTTAATGAGGGATGAACTCTGGGTGAAGGCCTTCCCACAGTCCTTGCATTTGTAGGGTTTTTCTCCAGTGTGAATCCTCTGATGCTCAGTAAGCGATGAGCTCTGAGTAAAGGTCTTGCCACATTCGTGGCAGGCATAGGGCTTCTCTCCTGTGTGAATGATGTGGTGCTGAATGAAATATGAGCTGTTGCTGAATGCCTTCCCACAGTCATTGCACTTGTAGGGTTTCTCTCCAGTGTGAATTCGCTGATGTAGAATATAGTCCGAATGGTAAATGAAGGCTTTCCCACATTCTGTGCAGTTAAATGGTTTCTTCTCCATGAAGATCCTTTGGTGTTTCAAGCTCTTCCATGGCCCACTCCACTTCCAGGACCTCTCTCCACCAGGCACTCTTTGCTTCCTGATGAGGGCTGAGGTCCACCTGAGACTTTTCCCAAGCTCATTACCCCTGATACCTTTGTCCACCAAGGTGTCTCCCTTGGTAGTAGCAAATAAGCACCTCAAATGCCTCTCCTGCTTTCCCAGGTCCTCCAATGGATGGCAACATGCTCGGAGTTCCCTCAACTTGGCATCACCAAGTACAGCCCTTAAAATTCCCTCAACTGGAGAAGCTGACTCTTCAGAAATGCTCTTTTTGGGAGGTGTCTCTTGAGTAGCCACAGAGCTTTTCTCCAAGTCTGAAATAAATGGAAAATATCAATATTATCTATCTCAAGACAAAGAAAACGGATTATTTGGCAGTGGCGGGATAAACTTAAAAAGAAATGATTTAAAATTTGTTGTTATTTTGAAAGGCATAATGTATGAATAGATAGATTCATGTTCTGACATGGAAAGGTGGCCTCAGTATACTCAAAAAATGAAAAAAGCTAAGTTGCAAAACAGTTTTTGTACATGGAGGTTGATTAGCCATGAAATATAATGATTTTTTACAAATCAATGAGGAAAAAAATGAAAAAATCCTAGTAACATAGTAAGGTAAGAATATGAATAGACGATTCACAGAAGAAAAATAAGTGGCTGATAAATACATGTAAAGATGCTCAGCATTAGTAATAGTAAAAAGCCAAATTACTAAAATGCCATTTTACCCTTTTTAGATTGGAAAATATTAAAAAATATACAATATTGGCAAGTGAGAATGGCACAGATATCTCACGCTGTGTTTGTGGGACTGTGCAAGGAAAGAGTTAACACTGAAGGTCTATTTTATTTAGTTTTTGTTTGTCTCTTGCTGCCACAGCAATGCCCCTTGGTCAAGCTCTGAGAACTAAACTCCTGGGACGTTTACACAGTTATTACTTAATGATGTTTTTCTGTATGCTCAAGGCCATGGATCACGATGTGCTAAGTTGTTAGCATTGTTGACTATAAATATGAAGATCCATGATGGTACCTGGTTTGGGGTCCTCACATGGCTGGTCATGTAGCGGGAATGTGCATATGTGACAAGCCCTCTTCAAGAACCATGGACTGTAAGACTCAAGTGGGCTTCTTTGGGTGAAGACACCTCATGTGTGTCTCTGTGGTTTTGCACTGTCCATGGAAGCCTGTGTATGACCTCTCGAGCCTGTGTTTGTTCCTGCTGTTCTTGCACTATACTATGTTGTATAGTGCTGTGAGTACTACTTGTTAAGTCATGTGAATCCTTCTACAAAATCACCAAACCAGTGGGTAGTTGTGGGACCCCCAAAACAGAGACATGACAACTAAATGTTATGTGAGATTCTTGAAATAATCTTGATGTCATTGGATCAGGCAATGGTCTTTTAGATATGAAATCAAAAGCATAAACAACAAAGGAAAAAATAGATAAATTGGAGATTGTCAGAATTAAAACATTTTGTGCTTCAAAGACATTATCAAGAAAGTAAAAAGACAAGCAGTAGAATGAGAGAAAATTTTTTCAAATCATATATCTGATAAGGGACTTATATCTAAAATATACAAAGAATGCTTACAACTCAATAATAAAAGGAGAAACAACCCAATTAAAAAGTGGGCAAATATCTCAATAGTCATTTCTCCGGAGATACACAAATGGACAATGAACACATGAAAGATGCTCGACGTCCTTAGCCATCGAGGAAATACAAATCAAAATCGTGAGATTCCACTTCACGCCCATTAGGAATACAATCAAAAAGACAGATTAGCAAGGAACATCCAGAACAAAATAAATTTAAAAAAAAAAGCAAAAAAAATAAAAATAAAAAATTCTAAAAAAATAAAAGACATAAAATAACAAATGATGATGAGGATGTAAAGAAATCAGAATTCGGCCAGGTGAGGTGGCTCACGCCTGTAATCCTAGCACTCTGGGAGGCCGAGGCGGGCAGATTGCTCGAAGTCGGGAGTTTGAAACCAGCCTGAGTGAGACCCTGTCTCTACTAAAAATAGAAAGAAATTAATTGACCAACTAAAAATATATATACAAAAAAAAAAAAATTAGCCGGGCATGGTGGTGCATGCCTGTAGTCCCAGCTACTTGAGAGGCTGAGGCAGAAGGATCGCTTGAGCCCAGGAGACTGAGGTTGCTGTGAGCTAGGCTGACACCATAGCACTCACTCTAGTCTGGGCAACAAAGCAAGACTCTGTCTCAAAAAAAAAAAAAAAAAAAAAGATGAGGGCAGAGACAGCATGGGACAGACCACACAGGGAGCCAGGCTGAGGGGCTGGGGCTCCATCCTGGAAGTGCTGGGGGCCATGGGAAGGCATGAGCAGGGGAGGGGGTCAGCTCTCAGTACAGAAAGACCCCTGGGTGCTGTGTGGGAGACAGACTGGAGTGGGGAGGCCTGGAGGCCAGGAGGCCAAGTTGGAGGCTGAGATGAGAGTCCAGGGAGAGGAGCTGAGGCCTGGCCAGGGACAGGAGGGACAAGGCTGAGGACTGATGGGCTGTGGGGGAGGGGAGGGAGGGGAGGGTCTGGACGGTGATGGAAACATGGCTGCTTCAATCCCCTCCTCCAATGGAGGCCGCAGTCCATAGGGAGGCTTCTACTGGCTTCTTCCTGTTCCCAAACATGGTAGGCCAGGTCCTACTTCTGGGTCTTTCCAAAGGCTATTCCCAATACACAATTACAATGATGACAACCATCAAAGCCACTACTGACTGGGGGGCGGGGTGCTGCTCTGTAGCTGTTAAGTCATTGATCCCTGGCAACCCTCGGGACTGGTACCATCCCCTTTATACAGATGAGAAAATCAAGGGACAGAGAGGCTAAGGCCACACAGCCAGGAAGTGGGCAGCTGGGATTCGAACCCAGGAGGCCGGACTCCAGAGCCCTTGATTACCGCCTGTGTGTTTTGCTGCCTTGTTCCCGAACGAACCCCACTGGCCATGACAGACGGGGTAGGAGGGGGTGCGCACCCGCGGGGCATCCTCACCCACCTGGACAGGTAGCTCGCTGGGCTTCTCTCTCCTCCATCTTCGGCGCTTCCCCTCGCTCCAGACGGGAGATTACATCGGGTTTGGACCCGAGAACCCCTGCCCCTGGGGAAAGATAGGACAGTTGGCCGTGGGTGCCAGAATCAATCCCAGGGAGGCCTGGGCGCTGGGCCCTCGGTCTGCAGACGAGGTGCATACAGCAAGTGCCTAATGATTGGCCCCAATGGCCAAGGCGAGGCTTGTTTGTTGATTGCCTAGTAAACCGAAATGAGAGACTGAGCCATGATGAGACTGTTTAAAGCCCTGGGCCTGTGCCGTCCAAGGCAAGTGTGACGTTAAAGTGTAAAAAACACACGGCCGGGCACGGTGGCTCACGCCTCTAATCCTAGCACTCTAGGAGGCCAAGGTGGGAGGATCGCTCAAGGTCAGGAGTTCGAGACCAGCCTGAGCAAGAGCGAGACCCTGTCTCTACTAAAAATAGAAAGAAATTAGCCAAACAACTAAAAATAGAAAAAAATTAGCTGGGCATGGTGGCGCATGCCTGTAGTCCCAGCTACCTAGGAGGCTTGGGCAGGAGGATCGCTTGAGCCCAGGAGTCTGAGGTTGCTGTGAGCTAGGCTGACACTATGGCCCTCTAGCCCGGGCAACAGAGTGAGACTCTGTCTCAAAAAAAACCAACAAAAACAAAACTCCCAAAACACAGTGTTCTGTATTTTGAAGACACTATGGAAAAAGCCATAAAATCAATAATTTGTATATTATGATTTCCATGAGTCAAAATAATATCTTGGATAGCTTGAGGTAAATAAAACGCATGATTCATATTAACTTCACTCATTTCTTTTTATGTTTTTAACCTGGCCACTAGACAATTTAAAATGACCTTCGTGGGTCATGTCCTATTTCTGATGGCCAACATAGCTCTAGATTCATCTATGCTCGAAGCCTTCCATTCCGAGACTTCTAGAAACACAAGTCAAAACTTTCTCATTTTGATGAAACTGTCTTGAATCCCTGTAGGCAAACATTTGATGCCTGATTAAAACATGAGATAATTACAACAATAGTTAGAGTAATATGAAAAAATTAACATCTATTAAGCACACACTACGTGTCAGGCATGTTTTGAAGCTAGTTGAATGTATTAGCTCATTTTACCATCCAACCAGGAAACTGAGGCATAGTCTAGTATGGTATAAGCTGAATGGAAGAAATACTTGGTCTTGCAGGAAGTCATGGAGGGTGGAGAAATCAAAGGAGGCTTCCTGGAGGAGGCAGCCAAAAGATGACTAGAACAGGGGTGAGGGTGAGAAGAATTTTGGTTCAACAAACATGCCCAGTGGCCTCCCACGCCAGCTCGAGGTTGTGCTGGGGATACAGAAATGATCTGGGCACCCCTCTGCCCTTGGAGGGGGGTGTCCCAAGCTGAAGGGGGAGGCAGACCTGGACACAGTGATCCCTGGAGTCCTCTCCTGCAATGATCCCATCCCCCTCCACCTCAGGCACCTGCTCCCACGGTCACATCCTAGACCCCTTCACCACCGGTAACGACCACACCTCCCACATCTCAGCGTCAAACCTCTCCTCCCTCCTTCCGGCCTCCTTGTCACTTTCCCTACTTCTTGACTCCAACTAACCTTCCATGGACCAGCAGCTGCCTGGAATCTGGCTCGGTGGCTGGGGACAAGCAAGAGGAAGAGGAGCAGAGACCCAGGATGGCGAATTCTCTGAGCCTGTACACCCCTCGCCGTCTGTGGCCTCCCCACGATTTTCCCTCTCTCTTTGCAGCCTGGCATTTGTGACTCACCCTGGAACCCCTCCCCTGCCGCCGCCCCACCTGCACTGCCCTTCTTGGCCTGCACTGACCTCCCCGGGGAAAGGTCCCACGGTGCTCAGGGCCAGATATCCTCCGACTTAGGTGCCAGCGCCCAAGAGGCTCAAGAGAGTTTCCGCCAATGTCTGACTTGCAACTTGCAAGTCGCGATGCACAATTGTGTGTTTTCTTCCCATTCTCCAAAATGATCGTTTTGTCATTTCTTCTCTTCCTTTGCTATACCTCAGCCCCTCTTTGCAGCTGTGACCTCCCCTCATCACTCAAAGACACCATCGGGATGACAGCGTCTGCCCTTCCCCACCAGGAGTCCCGGCAACCAACCTGCATCTCTGTTCACAGTTCACCTCGCCGGTTATCCTGGAAACGGCCCTGCTCACGGCCAAGGCCAACCCCGGCCAGAGGCAGGCCCCAGGCCCCAGTAAGAGCACAGAGAGCCCCAGACGGCCCCAGGGACTGCCTGCACAAATGGGAAGAGGGCGCAAAGGGGCACAGGCCCCTCCCTGGGGAGGGCTGGGGGTGGGCCTCACCCAGTGAGAGAAGGTTCTGGTAGTTCTCCAGCATCACGTCCCGGTACAGCTCCCTCTGGCCAGGCCCCAGCCAGCCCCACTCCTCCAGGGTGAAGTCCACAGCCACGTCCTTGAAGGTCACTGATTCCTGCAAGGGTCGATTTTACATGGTGGAGGGGCTCGTGCCCCCAGAGCTCTGGGGCAGGAGACGTCATGGGTCAAGCGCCCACTACTGTCCCCTGGGCCGGAACATTCTAATTCTGAAGATTTGAGGTGACTGAATCACACTGGCCCATGGGGACAGAAACCACCTAGGGCAGCCGCTAGCCCATAGGCGTCTTGGTGTAACGCAGAATGAGGAGCCCTTCCACGCGACTCTTTAGTGCCATCTGTTGGAGAGTCATTGTAATACACCAATTATTTTAGTATATGACAGTTTACTGCCATCTGCTTGAAAATCGCCACAATAAACATACCAGTGTATGAGGTGTAAGATGTGAATCCAGCCCCTGAGATGAGGCGCCCTTGTGCAGTGCGTAACCTGCACACCTGTACATGACAGCCCTAAGAAACACTTTTTAAAAAACTATCAAGCCATTTTGTGTAAGACATATTCCTATGTCCCACTCTGTCCCAGACCCCATCCCTGATCCTGACCCCTATTCCTGGCTCCAGGGATAAGGATCAGGGACGAAGCAAAACCATCCACTGCCCATTTCATCTGGTAACCAAAAGGCTGCTGAGTGTTCAATGACTGATTTGTAGACTATGTCACCAGGTCCCCGCTCACAGCATTCTGCACCTGCCCCTGCTTCCCTGCACCCCCCAGCGCCAGAGCTCCCTGCTCCTCAGCACTGGGAGGGGCAGAAGCCCATCAGATCATGCACAGAGACGGGGAGGACCTTCTGGAGTCCACAAAGTCATCTTGGAAGAGGAAGCCCACACTCACCTGGCTCTCAGCCATCAGGGTCCCAGTGGCCATCGCTGAGTCCTGGGCAGGGACCTCTGGGAGGAAGATCCCAGCCTGAGTCTGAAGAGCTGGAGGAGGAGACCAGAGCAGAGAAGGGGTTGTGGCCCAGACAGACAGATGCCTTCCCCAAAGACACTTGGTGACAGAGGGGTCCCTGGTGTCCTAAGGGACAAAGCAAAGGCTCAGGACAGGCCACCTGAGGCCCCCATTTCATATCAGGGACAACAAATCATCCATATGAAGGTCGGCTCACCTCGCCCACATAGTAGCTCTCAGACGTGGGAACTATAGATTTCTTTATCCCCAGATAAAGAAATTGAGGTCAGAGAAAAAAAAAAAGAAGAAAAAAAAAGAAAAGAAAAAAGAAAAAAAAAAAAAGAAATTGAGGTCACAAGAGGTCAAGGTCCTTGCTCAAGGTCATAGAGATAAGTGTCAGAGCAGGATCTGAACCCAGAAATCTGGCTGCAGAATCACCTCTCCCCACTTTTCTTGAGATAGAATCTCTGTCACCCAGGCTGGAGTGCAGTGGCTCCAACATAGCTCACTGCAGCCTCCAATTCAAGTGATCCTCCCTCCTCAGCCTCCTGAGTAGCTGGGACTATAACTGCACACCACCATGGCTGGCTAACTTTGAAAATTTTATAGCCATGGGGTCTTACTATGTTGCCCAGGCTGGTCTTGAACTCCTGAGCTCAAGTGATCCTCCCACCTCTGCCTCCCAAAGTGCTGGTATTACAGGCATGAGCCACTGTGCACAATATCCTCATTTTTCCTTATAATTTTTTATTGTGGTAAAATATACATAACATAAAATTTACCCTCTTAATCATTTAAAGTCTACAATTCAGTGGCATTTAGTTCATTCACAATATTGTTTAACCACCACCTGTATTTAATTCCAGAACATCTACATCACCCTAAAAAGGCAATCCTGTACCCATTAAGCAGTCACCTCCCAACCTTCCCATCCCACCCCTCCCCAGCCCCAGGCAACCACAAATCTGCTTTCTGTTCTGAATTTGCCTGTGAATATTTTAGGTGTTCCATATGAGGGTCAGCAGAAATCATACAATATTTGGCCTTTGTGTTTGGCTTCTTTGACTTAGCACAGCGTGTTCAAGGTTCATCCACGTTGCAGGCTGTATCAGTGCGTCATTCTTTTTATGGCTGAGTAATATTCCAAAGGACGGACAGACCACATTTTGCAGAGCCCCTTCTGTCTGTCTTAAAAATCCTGCTTAAGGATCTTGGGCTCCTGCTTAAGATGTTGTTTGAAGAACAGTTCCAATTGGTAAAATAAAGTATCAGAATCCTTGCCAAAGAGAGGCGGGAGCTCAGACTGGGGGGGCTACCCTCATTCATTCATTCATCAAATGGGCTCTGAGCCCCATGTGAGCAACAGGCCCCGTGCCAGGTTCTGAGGACGAGAGACACGAGTGAGACTCGGCCCTGTCCTCGAGGGGTTCTCTGCCAGGTGCGGGAAACAGGCCTGACCCAGACCAGGTGGCAGACTGAATCGTGGCTCCCAGAGATATCCCTGGAACCTGTGGATCTTACCTTGTATGGAAAAGGGACTTTGCAGGTGTCATTAAGTTAAAGATCTTGAGATGGGGAGATTATCTTGGGTTATATGGTGGGCCCTAAATGCCATCACAGGTGTCCTTATAGGAGGGAGGTGGAGGCGGGGCTGACACAGAGGAGAAGGCAGCCATGGGACAGAAGTGGGGAGAAGAAGCAGAGGCCAAGAGATAAGACGCTATGTCCCTGGCTCTGAACATAGATGAAGGGGCCACAACCTAAGGAAGACGGTGCTACTAGAAACTGGAAAAGGCGAGGAAATAGATCCCCCCTGGACTCTCTGGAGGGAGCGTGGCCCTCCTGCCACCTTGATCTCTGCCCAGTGAAAAACCCATTTCAGACTTCTGGCCTCCAGAATGGCAACAGAATAAATCTGTGCCATTTTAAGCCACTGAGTATACAGGAATTTGTTACGGCAGCAAGAGGAAACTGACACCGTCCACACAATGAAAAGATACAGTGCCTCCCGAGTGTTCCCAAGCAAACAGCTACACAGGGATGCACACCCCTGAGTGCTGAAACCAGCAGGTGAAACTTTGATGAGGAAATGAGGGACAGAGTCTTAACCATCTCCCCCAAATCACTTATTAATTGCAAGGAGAAGACAGTAACTGCAGAGAGGAGAACCTCGGCAGGCACCACCTTCACTGAGTGAGCAAGGTTGACCGGCCTGTGATGGGACAGACCCACTTTAAGGACCTGGATCTGACGATAGGGACGCAGCACCACTCCCAGGGCATGGCTGCCAAAAGCACGTGACCCAAATCTAATCAGGAAGAAACACTGGACTAGCCCAAACTGAAGAACCTTCTGAAAGTACATGGTCTGTAATCTTCAGAACTGCCAAGATCATCAGAAAGGTCAAGAAAAGCATGAGAAACTGTTCCAGATTAAATGAGACCAGAAAGACTAGACAACTAATGCCATGTGTGATCTCAGATTTTTTTTTTTTTTTTTTGCCATTTATCATTGTTGGGAGCATTAGCAAAAATTTGAATAAGGCCCGTAGATTAGCTAATAGTATTGTAACAATTTTTTTTTATCATTTCCTCATGGTGATCACGGTGCTATGGTTACCTAAGAAAACGACCTCGTTTTCAGAAAACACAAAGAGACTCACTGGGAGGGCTGGGGGCTGGGAAGAGGGCACACGGACCCCGGGAGGGGGCGTGGAGGGCAGAGACCCTGGAAGAGGGGAACTGAGATCCAGAAAGAGAAGGGGACAGACTCAGAGAGAAAGGGACAGAGATCCAGATGGAGGGGACAGAGACCCAGAGAGAAAGGGACAGAGATCCAGAGAGGGGGGCATAGACCCAAAGAGAGGGGCTGCGACTTGGGAAGGTGGACAGAGACCCACAGAGGAGGGGACAGAGACACCTAGAAAGCGAGGGACACACACGGGGCGGTGGAGGGCGGACGAGACCAGGGGGAACAGAATCCGGGGCAGTGGAGCTGAGGGGTACGGACACCAGGGTGTGCCTGCACTGTTGTTCTCAGGCTTTGGGGTCAGAATCTCTGGGTTCCAGGTCTACCACTTAGTAGCTCCGTGACCTGAAAGAAGTCGCGGAGTCTCCCCGAGGCTCAGTTTCTTCCCCCGCAAAGTGAGGAAAGCTAGGTTCCCCTTCCTGGGAGATCGCAGCTGTCCCGCGCTCGGCCGGGCTCCTGGCAAACTGCAGGCGCCCGGTGCTCGCGCGCTGAGTAGTCTGGGCCGCGCGGATGCGGGGGGTGAGGGGGTCTGAGACGGCTCACGACTGACAGCAGGGGGCGGGGCGCCACCCACAGCCCGTCCCCCTCCCACCCAGGCCCGACTGGGGCCCGCCCCCTGAGCGCCCGCCCGCCCGCCTAGCCCAGCTCGCATCCACCTGCTCCGCTCGAGTCCGCTGGGTCCCAACTCACCTGTGCGGCCGGGCGGGTTCCGCAGGGCAGTCAGGCCTACCCTCCCTCTCGCGGGCCGCGGAATGCGCCTGCGCGGTCGCTGTCTGGGAACTAGCAGTCCCAGTACTTTAAACTTGGCATCGCAGCTGGACTACATTTCCCAGAAACCATTGAGGCTCACGCTCCTCCTGGCCTAAGGTTTCTGAGTGCGGGGGATGCTGGGAAATGGAGTCTAGGTGTATAGCGTGGAGCGTGAGAAAGACTATTTGGATAGACAACTGTTTTGCAGCTGGAGGAAACCTGGTATTTGAGACATGTCTGGCTGTATTGGCTCCGCGAATAGCTTCATTTTAGGCAGAGTCTTTTCACCGTCCTTCACATAAGGCAATGCCATAGTCCATTTAATCCAAATTTCTCCTACCATAGCTGAAGGCTTCAGGGCAGATAAAAGTTGGCCCCATCTAAACCAATGGTGAATGAGTCGAGTTTCTGTCATTTAATTACTCAGTTTCCCTGGGCATCTGTCTTTCTGTTTACCTCAGTTTTACCCATCACCTCTTAAAGGGCAATGTTGTAAAGGAAACAGAGTCCTATGCTGGGAGCTAGGAAATGTATGTTCAGGAATGCAAGGATGGTTTAATATTAGGATATAAAACATATTGATATATCAAAATAATGCAATCATATTCATAGATACCGAAAAGGCTTTTAATAACATTCAGTAACCAGTCATTTCTAGATAAGCTTAATAAGTTAAGAATAGGCCAATATTGAACAATAATAACAAAAATGCTGAAGAGTTACTGGTCTCTTCTTGTGTTTAATTATACACATATAATAAAAACTTAATATCAGCCTTAATGGTAAAACACTAGAAGCATTCCTGTTAAAGTCAAAACCAAAATGTCCACTCTCACTACTATTGGAAGAATTAAAAATGTAATTATACAACAGAAAGAAACAAAAGACATCATTGAAATAGAGAAGTCTGGGTTCTCATTCTTCTTTTCACATATGATTAAGATCATGAAAATCAGAGAATCGACTGAAACACTAAAATAAACAAGGTAATTCTGTAAAATGACTGGGTACAAAATTAATTAAAACGAATAGGTTTTCTACATTTAAACAAGAACCACAAGGAATGTAATAAAAAACTTTCTCTGATTCCCACCAAACCCAGCTGGCTTTGGCAACTTCCTTCCTGGGTTCCCACAGGATCATCCCAGTATCCTAGCGCTGATATTGTAATCATTGCTGTGTTGTAATTGTCCAACTGCACTCTCCAGGAGCTCTCATCACACCATAGTTTATGCACAATTTAATTATCTGTTTATTGTACAGATTTTATTATAAACAGATAATAAAATTATCTGTTTATTTGTCCCCTGGGAATCCCCAGGGGATTCCCATGAAGTTAAAGGAATATCTGGACCTGTGGCGTGAATACATTTTTAAAAAATCCATAACAAAGGCATCTTTGGGCCACTAGTTTGCGACCCCCAAACCTGAGCCTCTTCCAGGTGGGCTGCGGTCTGGCTACCCGCGTAAGAGGTGCGCGTTAAGTCAAGCATTTTGAGGAGTCTGCTGTAGCAGGCCAGCGCACAGGGGACTGTGACGTCATACGCTCCAGGAGGGCTGTCGCCATGGCGACCAGCGTCCGTTGCCTAGACACGCCTCTGGCAGGCTGGAGGCAAGGGCTTGGAGTCGAGAGAAAGAGGAGGGGGCAGAACCTGCTAAAAAATGGAGAGGAGACACCACTGCCTACTTGGTTCCCGCCGACTTTTCCAACACCACGGAAGTGGCAGCGCCGGATGAGGGGAGTGCGCCTGCGCAGCCGAGGCCGGAAACTACCATTCCCAGAATCCTTTCGGTTGGAGCCAATTCTATTTCATCATTTTCATGGTACAGGGAAAAGAGACGAGGCGAACTTGGCAGCGGTCAAATATATTGGTTGCGCACTCTACGGCGCATGTACTAAAACTGGTAGCTTGGCAACGAGTGGGGCTGGAACAAAGAAGTCGAGGTTTCGGCCAATCAGAAGTTACGGTTTACATACACACCCTCCTATTTTTAAAGTGACTGGGACGCCGGTATCCATGGTAACAGATATTGCGCTGGCAGCGGATTCTGGGAAATGTTAATAGGGAGGCCAGCGGAATTGATCAACACTTAAAAGTTTCTTTGCTAATCTCTCACTAATGTAAAATCTACAAAAAACGGCCAGCCCCAGAAGTTTTCCTGTCATCTCACAGAGGTAGCAAGACGTGTTTGGGTTGGTTTTGGTACTTGAAATAAATTCATTGCCAACAACATTTATGGAGAAAGTTGGGTAGAGAAACAGAGCTGGACACCAACTGGGGGGAGGAGGGCCCAGGAAACTGATAGACACATTGAGAAAATTGTCACAGATTTTATTAAACTTTTCCCCTTACACACCTTCAAAGCATCAACCTATTGCAGCAGGAGTCTTCGGTTTTTCCTGTACGTACAAGCCCTAGTAAGAGAGAAAAAGCCTGGAGGTTAGAAAAGAATTTCAGATTCCTGCTGCTCAACTGACCCTTAACCCCCCCAATTCCCTCCAATCATTGGCTTGATTTGGTTCAGCCCGTGACGTCATGAGTCTCTGGGCAGATTTCCAAAGTTCTCAGCCAATCGAAGTTGATACCTCAGAAGGGTGAAAAGTTGGGTGAGTAAGATGTGGGACCCGGAAGAGTCAAAAAAGACAGGAGGCGACACAGACAGCGAGAAAGACTAAAAGGCAAGGACAGACAGACAGAAATGGAGAGATGAAAGGAAGAGATGGGGATAGTGGAAGCAGAGTATAGTGGGTTAAAGTGTGTTTTCCCCCAAAAGATACATCCAAGTCCGAACTTCCGGTACCTGTGACCGCGACTTTAATTGGAAATAGGGTCTTTGCAGATGGAATTAAGTTGAGGTGAGATGAGCTCATCCGGGTTTAGGCTGGGCCCTACATCCAAGGACAGATGTCCTCCCAAGAGAAAGGAGAGGGAGATTTGGGACGTGGACACAGAGAAAGAAGCCACGCAACGGAGGCAGACAGGAGGGAAGCCAGGCCTAGGGCTGCCACAGCCGCAGGAGCTGGGCGACAGGCGTGGAGTGGATTCACCCTCACAGGCTCCAGAGGGAACCAACCCTGCCAACCCCTGGATTCCGGACTTCTGGTCTCCAGAACACAGAGAATACATTTCTGTTTCTTGAAGCCAGCCAGTTGGTGGTGACGTGTTACAGCAGCAACATGAAACTGATAACACAGGGAGACCCAGGGACGAGGAGAGTCAGAGATGGAAGAGAGGCTGACACTCCCGGAGCGCTCCTATGTGCTGAGTCACTCAGTGCCCACCACCAAGGCCTGAGGAGGAGGCGCTGGGATCACCCCCATTTTGAATATGAAGAAACTGAGGTGTCAGGGAAAGGAGGCTACTGGGCCACTTGGAGGAGGCAGAGAGAAGAGGAGAGGGGCTGGAGAAGCGTTGAGGGGCATACAGGCAGATGGAGGCAGGGACAAGCCCTCAGAGGTGGAGAGGGGAGGGTGAGGGCCACCTCTCCCTGGGGACAGGGGCCTGGTGCCCATGGAAATGTTTTCACTGTAATATCTCTGAAAGCCAGAAGATAACACATGAATATAACAATAATAATGATGATGATGAATATATAATAATGAAGCCAACTTGGATGATCTTTGTCTTCATACCAATGCATTCGCAAAATATAACTTTTAGTAATTTTTATATGGAGGAAGGGGTCCGCAATGACGAAAGTGCTGAAGACCCAGGAAAGTCATAATATGGCCCAAGAGTGGATGAAAGAAGAGATGAGAGAGAGAGAGATACCAATGAAAAAGAGGGAGGGGAGAGGGAAGGGAGGAGGAGAGAGACAGAGAAAAAGGCAGAGACACATCAAATGACTGGGGAGGAGACTGCCAAAGTACACAGTGGCCTATCCAGGGAGGTGCCATTTTTGAGGCACCCAGAGGGACATTTGGGGGACTAGGAGGGGGCAAGGATGACTCACGAGACCACGATGACCACGAAGACCAAGACAGCCAGAAACACGGAAATAAGGCTGCCCAACAGAGCCAGGTTCCACTCTTTGCTCTTGTTGTACCGCAGGGCCACGCGGGGCTGCCGGTCAACTGGGATGGGTGGGGGAGACAGCCCAGACCTTCAAGTTACCACCTTCCTTAGCCTTGTACCCACTCTCTACCTGTCCCCTCAGCAACCTGGGGCGGGGTCAGGTTTCCCTGTCCCTTCTTCGGACTTGGTCCCTGCACTCCCCTGGAGTCTGACTCCCCATTTGTCCACTCCCCAAATGCTGTGTCTCAGGGACCAATGAAGGCACTCGGGATACAGCTGGGAACGAAACTGGCAAACTGCCCTCATGCAGCTGGCAGTCTACACAGCATGTCAGTCGCAGTGAGGAGCCAGTGCTAAATGCACCTCATTTGATGGGGTGAGGGGGGGCGAGGAAGACTTGGGAACATTGACTCAAAACCAAGAAAAGGGACAGAGACACCATACACATGAGAGGGGGCTGCAAACCACTGACAGTCTCTCAAGATTAAAGTCTCCTTGTGTCTTAGCTGGCAACACTGAAGGCGGCCTTGGGAGTTCCACTCTACATCTTCCACTCCCCTGCTGTCCCCAACTCTTTCCTTCCCTCGGCAACTCCTCTTGATTCGACCTTCAAACTGTACCCAGAATTGAATCCACCAACTTGGTCCAGCCCTCACCATTGCTTCTCTAAGGGGTCTCCCTGTGGCTCCTTCCCCTGTACTCCCCCACTTGGCCTCCAGAGGGCGCTGTTAACACCGACCTCAGCTCCCTCCTCTGCTCAATGGCTCCCATCTCACTCAGGATAAAAGCCCGAGTCCAGCCTTTGCTCCAGCAGTTGCTGCATGATCTGGTCTCCCTGTGACCTGGCCCTTGTTCTAGCTGCACTACTAATGTCCTTCACTCACTCAGCCCCGGCCACGCCACTCCTCTTCCTTGTTGCGTAATCATGTTGGATTCTGCCTGTACTGTTCCCTCGTACCATTCACACTGTTCCCGTTACTCCCTTGCTTCCTTCAGTTCTCAAAGGTCACCTCTTTATAGAGGCCCCTGCACCTGTACTCTCTATAGTAGCACCACCCAGATACACTCTATCAAGTTGTTTCTTTTCATTAGAGCACTCAATGCCTTCTGGAATCAATTCGTTTATATGTTCATGTAATTACCTTCTAACCCAGTGGTTCTCAACCAGGGACAATTGTTATCCCCAAGGGGACATTTGGAAGTGTCCGGAGACATTTTTGATTGTTGAGGGGTCTGTTTGATCATGGCGTCTTGTGGATGAGGCTAGGGCTGCTGTTAACCATCCTGTGAATTAGGGGAGGGTCCTCATAGCAAAATACCCAGCTCCAAATGTCCACGGTGCTGAGGTCGAGAAACCCTAGCCTAACACCTTGCCCCACTAAAATGTGGGCTCCATGAGGGCAGGAGCTACATCTATCTCCCAGTCTGCTGATCCCTAGTTTGGGGCATTAAATACCATCCAAAGGAAGCAAACAAACAAATCTGAAAGTGGAACATTCTCTAGAACACACGCCCTTTTTGTCAACTAGCCAATGCCATGGAGGAAAAAAAAAACAACTCTAGATTAAAAAAATGAAGTGAAAAACGTACCAATTGAATGATATGAAAAATCCTTTCATTGAATCATGATTTGAACAAATCAGCTGTGAAAGATATCCTGGGGACAATTAGGGGAATGGATAGAAGGTCTTGGAATTATCTACTGTTGAGGAATCGTTGTTAAGTCTATTGGGTGTGGGGATGGCACTGTGGTTATGTAGGAAAATGTCCTTATTTTTAGAGGTACGTGATATGTATAGGTGAAATTGCATGTCTGTGGTTTATTTTAAAATACTATGATAAAGAATAAAATAGGTAAATTTGGAAGAATGTTCGTTGGTAACATAATTTGATAGTGCTATATTAAAGAGTATGTTCAGAGAGGTCTCTCTGAGGAGGTGACCTTTGAGACTCAAATGAAGTGTGGGAGTGAGGGGAACAGCATGACAGAGAGAGGGAACAGCATGTGAAATGGTCTAGCATGCCTATTCAACCTGGATGGATATATGTGGATCCCTTGTACTAATCTTTCTGCTATGAGGATATGTATATTTTTAGATCTCTGAATGAATGAATGAGCAAATGAGTGATTTCATCACATCCTACCTGATTCCCCAGGTATTGCAATGGCTAAGAATAAAATGTTTCTCTAGGGCCGGGCGCTGTGGCTCACGCCTGTAATCCTAGCTCTTGGGAGGCTGAGGCGGGCGGATTGCTCAAGGTCAGGAGTTCAAAACCAGCCTGAGCAAGAGCGAGACCCCGTCTCTACTACAAATAGAAAGAAATTAATTGGCCAACTGATATATATATAAAAAATTAGCCGGGCATGGTGGCGCATGCCTGTAGTCCCAGCTACCCGGGAGGCTGAGGCAGAAGGATCACTCGAGCCCAGGAGTTTGAGGTTGCTGTGAGCTAGGCTGACGCCACGGCACTCACTCTAGCCTGGGCAACAAAGCGAGACTCTGTCTCAAAAAAAAAAAAAAAATGTTTCTCTAGCACCTGCCATTCTGGTGTTAGGGGCATTTTAAAGTTCCAGAGGAATCTTCCCACTTAACAGAAGGGGGAAAGCGAATTTTAAAATGTGGAAGCAACTTCTGGGCCACACTGCGAGAAAACAGTAAAGGCAGAATTCAAGGCTGCATGTAGGAAGCCTCATAACCCATAGCTAGTGGGCCATAAATGTCTTCCTCTCTCACGTTCAGGAGCTTACCAAAGCAGTACTTTTTTGGGATACATTTGGATTTGATTATCTGGCATTGTAAACAGTCCAAGACCTCTTCGTTCAGTTGGTCTAGACAAGGGGAAAGGGAGAAGTATGAGGAGGGCAGAAATCAGAGGAGTGGAAAGGAAGAAGGGGAAAGAGGAGATGGGGTCCCTTGGCCCTCTTGATTTTTGGAGGTTCCACTGCACAGCCAAGCAGGTGGAGCAAAATGCACTGACAATTCACATGAAAAATAATTTTCATACAATCATTGAAGAGTTGAGCTGCAGTCATCCAGTTTTGTTTGTTTGTTTGTTTTTTAGGCTAGTCAAGTGAAGCAGTGGGAGTGGAAAAGGAACAAAAGAATCTGTAACTGGTTGTGATCAATTAGTTGTAAACACCACTGCACTTGGACCAGCCCCTGTAATCCAGTAGACCTAACATTCTGTTTGTAAACATTTAATTAAGCACTTGTTAATTTTGAGTTGACAGTTTTCTTTTTCCAATCTGGAGCCCTTTGTAGCAGAGACTGGTGAGATGCCTCCTCCTCTTCCTGCATACACAGGAAGACTACATCTCCCAGGCTCCCTTGCAGTAGGCTGAAACCATGTGACTAGTTCTGGCCAATGGAAAGTGAGCAGAGTGATGTGCGTCACTTCCAGGCGTGGGCTTAAAACTCCCAGTGTGATTCCCTATTCTCTTTCCCTTCAGAAGCAAGCTAAAAGTCTGCAATATGTGTGCAGCCTGGATCCCTGAGTCACTGCTCGGAAGAGCTGCTCAAAGCTCAGTGGAATTTGGTGAGAGAGAAACAAGCCTTTGTTGTGTTAAAGCACTGAGATGTGGGGATTATTTGTTAATACAACATAGCCGATCCTATCCTGACTGACTTAACTCCAGAAATATTTTTTTGCAGGTAGCAATTATTTTCATAAGCCCTCAAAAAGCAAATCTCCCTAGGTGCTATGACTTCGGGGTGAGGGAACCGCCGAATGGAGGTGTGGTAGCAAGGCTTGCTTTGGGGAGGGAGGGTAAAAGGATGTAGGCGGGTATGGAACGGAGGGAGGGGTAGACAACAAATCCAAGACTCACAGCAAAGTTGGGGATCGCAGGCTGCAAGAGAAAAGAGCTCGAGTGAGTTAAATTGAGATGGCAATCTCAATTGCAGGGGATGGCAATTTAAGAATTTAATTGGGAAGGGAGAGGGAGGGAGAGGTGAGTGTGGGAAAGGAGAGATGAAGAAGGCAGAGTTATTGGGGAGGTGAAGGAGGAGGTTGGGAGAAAAAGTGAACGAAGTAGATCAAGAGATCAATGGGCAAGGGGAGAAGGGGGCTTGGTGGAGAAATACGCTGTACCTTTTAATTCATATGATCTTAAAACTGTCTTGAGTTCCTTGATCGCTTTTGCCCTAAGAGTCACCAGCTCTTCCAGCAGAAGCTCATCTGGGGAGAGAAAGAGATTCTTGTGGGATGGGAGGCGCCCAGCAAGCCCATCCCCATCTATGGCTTCCAGGAGAAGGGATGTGGAAGCTCATCTTCATTTACCAGAAATAAGGAAGACCAGGTATTCCTTAGGGTCCCTGGGCAAATCTATGGCTTAGGAGATCCTGCCTCTAGCTTTTGATTCACTGTGGGGCCCCCAGGCTAAATCACCCTCCCTTGGCCTCAGTTTGCTCATGTGGTAAGTGGATTTGGACTGGATAACCTCTTCTTTTTTCTGTCTACACTCCTTCATGATTCCAGTCCAACCTCATGGCTTTATATATGACCTAGACTTGCACTGTCTGGTACGGTAGCGACTGGCCACACATGGAACACTTGAAGTGGGCTAGTCTGAACTGAGATGTGCTGTAGGTATAAAATGTACACAGGATTTCAAGGACATAATACAAAAAACCTATAAATTGTCTTAAATGTTTCATTTGCACATTGAAATGGTAATATTTTAGATATTGGGTTAATAAGATATATTATTGATTTCACCTGCTTCTTATTTACTTCTTTTTTCAAAAAACGTGCCTACTAGAAAATTTTAAATTTGGTAGCCCTGCTCATATTCTTTTCCTATTGGATGGTACTGGCCTATACACTGATGCCTCCCACATTTATATCTCTAGCCTAGACCACTCACTGGTGTCCAGATTCATATATCCAACTATCAAGTCAAGATCTCCACTTGGATGGCTTGTGGGCATCTCAAACTAAGTCCCAAACTAAACCCTTGGTGTTCTGCTCCAAACCAACTCCCAATCTCCCAGTCTACTCCATCTTAGTAAATGCCATGATTCTGGTTGCTTGGGACAGAATCCTTGGTGCTGTCTTTGACCCCTTTCTTTTTTTTCACATCCCACATGCAATCTGTCAGCATGCTTGGCACCAAATCCTGTCTGCTCAATATTCAAGATATCCATCCCCTCCCTCCTAATGCTAGGATTTCATCTTTCACAGAAATAATCTCTCCCTCTCATTCCACTCTAGCCTTCCCGGTTTTGATGTCCTGTGAATATGCCAAACATCAGCCCATCTCAGGAACCCTGCTAGTTGTTCTTTCTGCCTTCAACCTTCCAGTCCCTCATGGCTTCCTCCCTCCATCCCTTCATGTTGCTTCTTTTCAGTGACATCTTTCTTGGCTGCCCTATTTTAATCTGTAACCCACACCCTAGTCCCAGTATTCCCTAGTCCCCTGTTCCCTGCTTAATTTTTTTCCATAGCATTTCCCAATTGACATATTAAATGGTGCAGATTAACTGAGCAGATCTGGGTTGTCCAAACCCTTCACATTCCAAAATTTTGGCTCTTGCCTGGTTCCTAGAAGGTAATCTCTAGGTTCTTGGAATATCCTGCCTCTTGAGAATGTCTTGGTCTACCTGGGAGCCTTGGGCTACACCAAATAGTCTATGCTAACAATATGATTGATGGTGGGAGCCTTGGGCTGTGCAGTAGCAGCTTGACCTCTGGAGGGGCTGGAGACTGAGTAATTGAAGTCAACCGTGCCTATGTGACTGACCCCCCAGTAAGACCCTGGACACTAAGGCTCAGGTGAGCTTCCCTGGTTGGCAATACTCTGTGCATATTGTTACACTCCATTGCTGGAGAATTAAGCACCATTCACATGACTCCACTGGGAGAGGACAACTGGAAGCTCACACCTGGTCTCTCCTGGACTTCTCGCTACGCACCTTTTTCCTTTGCTGATTTTCATTTGTGTCTTTTCATTGTAATAAACCGTAACTGAGGTTTGCTGAGTTCTGTGTTATTCTAGCAAATCTTTGAACCTAAAAGTGGTCTTGGGAGGTCCCCAAACACACATGTATATTATATTGCTTTATCGTATTTCTTGTCTGCCTTTCTCTCTAGCATATATGCTCCACAGAGGTAGGCATTTCAGTCTGTTATATTCATTGCAGTATCCCCAGCTACTAGGACAGTGCCTAGCATAGAGTGACTAGCGTTATAGTAAGTGCTCACTAAGTATTTGTAGAATGAATGGATTGAATAAATTTTTAAGTGCTATGCTAGCCAAACGTCTATAGCCATCGAAGTGCCATTGTAACAGTGCAGGTCATGATTGTATTCTGGGTGACTTTCCACTTCACTGAACCAGGGGATTCCAGTGTTTCATTCCCCAGGAAGGGGCCTGAGTCTGGTCAAAGGGGACTATATTTGTCTGCATTTAAAAAACAGCTCTATTGAGATATAATTCATGTACTATACAACTCCCTCATTTAAAGTGTATGGCTCAATGGTTTTTAGTATATTCACATATTTTGCAATCATCACAATTAATTTTAGGATATTTGTTACCCCAGAAATAAACCCTGTGCCCATTAGCATGTATTTAAAATTTCATATTCACTAAATGGTAGGGTTATTCTAAAAAGGAGATAACATTATTACATAATTAGCATATTTTTCCTGATTCTATGACTATTTCTCATTCATTATTTAAAAAGGTAGGAAGAAACAAGAAATTGAAAACTACAATTTGACAAGCACAGGGAAGAAAGCAAGCACCACCTTCAGTCCCTTTAACTTAGGACACCTAGAATCAGTATTTTGGTTGCTCGTGTTAGATTAAGGTTAAGTATGAAATGTCCGATTTCCTTAAGTGCTAAGTTTGACAGTTGATATCTCTGATATTTCACTTTGACACTTATTGCTTTCTTTTTATTGTGAAGGTACATCCTCAGTCTTTCAAATGTACATTTTGGCTTGTGATTATCTTTCAAATGATTTTTAGAGCAATTTTTGTGAAACTAATGGATAAATCAAAAATTCGTATTATTTTCAAATATGAGTTTCGTTGCAGAACCCATGCAGTGCAGACAGCCTGAAATATCAACAAAGTGTTTGGGAAGGATGTGGCTAACGAACGCACAGTACGTCGATGGTTTGAGAATTTCCCTTCTGGTGATTTTACTCTTGAAACTGAGCCACGTGGGCGACCTGAGACCAAGGTGGATAATGATAAACTGAAAGCTGTAGTGGAAGCGAATCCATCTCAACCTACATGACAATTAGCAGCAAGGTTTGACGTTACTATTCCAACAATATTGGACCACTTGAAACAAATGGGCAAGGTAAGAAGCTGGATAGATGGATACCGCATGAATTAAATGAGTGCCAGAAGAGGAATCCTCTAGAAGCTTGCCTTTCTTTGCTGTCACGACATAAATGCAAACAATTTCTACATCGCATAGTTACCTGTGATGAAAAATAGATTCTTTTTGACAATTGCAAGCATTCGGCACAATGGTTGGATAAGGATGAAGTGCCGAAACACAGTCCAAAACTGAATATTCATCAAAAAAAAAAAAAGCTAATGGTGTCTGTTTGGTGGTCCAGCGCTGGCATTATCCGCTACAGCTTCATGAAACCTGGTCAATCGATACAGTGCATGTCTACTGCAACCAACTGGAGGAAATGACGAGGATGCATGCGATTAAGCAGCTGAGATTGGTCAATAGAGACAGGCCAATCCTCTTGCAAGGCAATGCTCGACCACATGTCACACAAACAACGCTGCTCAGACTACAGAGGCTGGACTTGGAAACTGTCATCCACCATATTCACCAGACCTTGCACCAGCTGACTTCCACTTCTTCCAGGCTTTGGACCACTTCTTGCAAGGAAAAATATTAAATTCTCAACAAGCTGCGGAAAACGTCTTTCCTGATTTCATCGCCATACGATCTCCAGGCTTCTTTGCTGCTCGCATAAGCAAGCTGCTTAGATGGCAAAACTGTGTCAATAATCTGGGCACGTACTTTGATTCACTGGACTGCTTCTTGGTTGAGATATAATAAACTAGACTTTGGAGTCAAAATCAGACATTTCTTTCTTTTTCTTTCTTTTTTTTTTTTTTTTTTGAACACAGAGTCTTACTCTGTTGCCCAGGCTAGAGTGCCGTGGCATCAGCCTAGCTCACAGCAACCTCAAACTCCTGGGCTCAAGCGATCCTTCTGCTTCAGCCTCCTGAGTAGCTGGGACTACAGGCATGCTCCACCATGCCCGGCTCATTTTTTTTCTATATATTTTTAGTTGTCCAGCTAATTTCTTTCTATTTTTAGTAGAGACGAGGTCTCTCGCTCTTGCTCAGGCTGCTTTCGAACTCCAGACCTTGAGCAATCTGCCCGCCTTGGCTTCCCAGAGTGGTAGGATTACGGGCGTGAGCCACCGCGCCCGGCCCAGACATTTCATATTTAATGACCTAATACAAACTTAACACACAAACACACACTTTTACATAAAAAAAAAAAAAAAAAAATAGCGGGCTCCTCATGACGTCACTCATCCTTCAAGGTGGGGCGGGGCTCTGCACTCGGACCACGCCCCCGAGTCCACAGGACCCTCTACTGCCCTCTGCTGGGAAATGTCAGAACAACCGCACAAATCTGCGACGACTAATCCTGCGCCTGGCGCCCTAGGCGTCGCCGGACACAAAACCAGAAGCATCCGCGGGCTGCCGGTTAGGAATACAGCGTCTGAGCCGGGGGTCCCAGGCACAGATCTTCAGCGCTGCTACCTCCTAGCTGTGGGTGACACTGGGCGGTGACACTGGAGGTCCCCTGACCTCCCGAGCCTCAGTTTCCCCGTCTGCGAAGTGCGCATCACTCGGACGGCCAGCTCCACGCGCCGCCGTAGACTTTTCTAGGTGAAGCACTCGGGCCCGGGCCGGGCGCGGCGAGAAGGCCGTGTGCGCGTTTGCTTTTTATTTTGGCACCGGGGCAGGCGGGGGAAGGGTGCTGGGAAAGGCGCCCCTCTCGGCTCCTACCTTTCATAGAATAAACCAGCAAGCGCTGCGTCTGGTTCCTGACAAAGGACGCCACCAGGTCCAGCTGATCTGCCTCTGGGGGCGGGAGGGAGGACATTCCAGTGGGTCCCCGAGGGCTAAGGGCCTCCCCGCCGCCTCCGCGCCCGGCCCCGCCCGGCCCTGCCCCCCCCGGGGCTCCTCTCGGGGCGCGGTCCCCGGGCGTCTGCCCCGCACCCGCTTTCCCCGCGAACACGTTCAGCGCGTAGTCCCGGAAGAAGGGCCCCTGCATGCCCCGCAGCAGGGCCTGGGCGCGGGCCTGCAGCTGCTCGCGGTGGAAGCGGCCGGGGATGATGGCCGCGCGCAGTTTGTCCAGGGCCTGGTTCACCGAGTCGACGCACTGCAGGCAGCCCCGGCCGCCGGGCGCGCCCCGGCCCAGGAGCAGCAGAAGGGCCAAGGCCAGGGCCATGGCTGGGTCTTTGTGACGTCACAGAGGCAGCCCGCAGGCCCCGCCCCCCAGTTAGGGGCGGGGCGGGCCAGGGAACACCTGTGACAGGTGCGTTCAAGCACGCGTAAGCTGAGCACCTACTGTGTGCCGGGCATGGAACCTAGGCAGAGAGAGTCGAGAAAAAAACAGAAAGTCTCTGCCCTCGTGCAACTTCCTAGTTCCTATTGAACTGATTCATTCAACACATATTTATTGAACACCTACTATGTGCCAGGTGCCGACCAAGGCCCCCAGAGCTAGAGGTGAGAAAAACAGGAGGTCTCTGCCCTTTTGGCACTTACTTTGATTAATTCAACACGTATTTACTGAGTGCCTACTGTGTGCCAGGTCTCGTTCTAGGCACCAGATACAGAGCTGAGATAAACACAGGCAGCCCCTGCCCACATGGAGTTCACATTCATTTCTTCCACAGACGTCAGTGTTGCCTACTACGTGCCAGGAGCTGGAGATAGACAGAGCTACGATGGACACCGTCGCTGCTCATGCAGTTCAGTCCAGCAGGGGTGGGAGGGAGTGGGGGGAAGAGAAATGTAAAACCTGGTAAACAGATTAGTAAATAAAGCAATGACAAACTGCATTCTGCTCTGGGGTGCAAATACACAGTGTGACGACAGGAGAATTCTCAAGGGCAGGAGGTGATGTCTGGTTCCCTGCTCTAGTCCGGTGCCTGGCATGTTCTAGGTCCTCCATAGATATTTAGTGAACCCACTAAATATCCCTGGGGACTCCCCAGGGGAAGTGTACTTTGTTTTTTCCCTGAAATTTTCACCCTGAAAATGTTCAACTCCAGAGAAAAGTTGCAAGAGTGGCACAATAAACACTCAAATATGCCTTCACACTTTGCATTCGCTGTATCTCTCTACCTATATGTAGATTAATAAAATAGTAATTTAATGATACAGAGATTAAATTAAAAGACATTAAATATTTCTGGTAGTTCTGTTGACAATAAAATAAAAAATAAAACATTAATAAAAAATAAAAGATATCAAATATTAGTACACAGATACAGCAAATGTAAATCAATTTATATTATATTAATTTATAGATTAATATTAATTTAATTAATAGATATTTAAGTCAATAAAGACTAAATAAATATTAGTGTGTATAGAGAGAGTGACATAGAGACAGAGAGAGAGAAAGGGGGAGAAAGGGAGGGGAGGGGAGTTGTCTTAGTTCAGGCCCTTGTAACGAAGTGCCATAGATTGAATAGCTTATAAACAACAGAATTGATTTCTCACAGTTCTGGAAGTCCAAGGTCAGGGTGCCGGCAGGGGCGAGTACTGGTGAGGCTGCCTTCTTGTATCCTCACATGGCAGAAAGAGGGTGACAGAGCTCTGTAGAGTCCCTTTTAGAAGGGCACTAATTGTACTTAAGAAGCTTCCACCCTCATGACCTAATCACCCCCAAAGGCCCCGACTTCTGATATCATCACGATGGGGATTGGAATTTCACATATGAATTTTGACAGGACGCAAACATTCAGTCCATCACAGGAGGGGAGGAGCGAGAAGCACGATAATAATATGACTAAGTAACATGCATATTTTATTCCCCTGATTTGCATTCTCCTACATTATAATTTGTTCTCCTATTGGTTTCCTTCGTAGCACCATAGATATAAGTCTTTATGTTGCCTATTCTGAAAAATCCTCGCACCTCTGGAGGCCGAGGTGGGAGGATTGGCTAAACGGTCAGGAGTTAAACCAGCTGTGCAAGAGCGAGACCCTGTCCTACTAAAAAATAAAAGAAATTAATTGGCCAACTAAAATATAATAAGAAAAAATAGCTGGGCATGGGGCCATGCCTGAAGCACACACTGGATGCTGAAGCAGAGCATCGCTTGAGCCAGGAGTTTGAGGCTTGCTGTGAGCTAGGATGACGCAGGCACTCAATAAAGACACATAAAAAAAGCAGAAAAAAAAAACGAAAAAAAAAAAACAACAAAAAAAAAAAAAAAACAGCCGGGCACAGACTGAACTGTCGCGAAGATACAACAAATGAATTTGGAACAACGAATACAACTTTACTCCTAAATTCTCCAGCACATTTCTCTTAAGAATGAGGACCTTCTTCTAGAGACGAGAGTCTGGTTATCACTCGTGGGAAATTAACATTGGCTCAACACCAGACATATTCGAAGTACTTTCATATGCCTTCTAACTCTTCTCTGCTTCAGTGTCTCCTCCTCCCAGAAGCCCTCGTCAGCATATGACGCTCTGAGACAGGCGATCTGTTATTCATCTATCTTAATTGATCAAACAGATATCTTTCCTAAACTAAGGACAGAATATAAATGTACTTACGCTCTATGAGTCTAGTTTCTCTGCCTACTGTCAGTGGCAGTAGCGCCCGACATCTGGAAATGAAGAGCTGGCTGTCATTTCAATGAAACTATGCACACCCTAGAAATTCAATTTTATATACACTTCTTCAAGCATCACAAAAGGATTTCTGCTTGACTTTTTTCACACTTTAGAAATGTATATAGTACCATAGTTCTTACCGTGGTCCATCAGGTGGCCAACACCTGCTCTAATTCATCGTCCTGTTGGCTTCCTTCGTAGCACTAATTATAATTTTTTTCTTTGTCTTTTTTGTCTCTCTCCCGTATCAGCCCAATAAACCCCTTGAGGCCAGGAGCCATGCGTATACTGCCCTGAACTTGCAGGAAGGAACCCGGCATATGGTAGGTGTCCAATAAATATTTATTGAAGGAAATAAAAGGAAAAAAGCCAGTTCCCTTTTTGAGCCTCAGTTTACCCCTCTGTAAAATGAGGATAATAATGCGCCAACTTTATCCCAAGGGTGAAGTGGCATAGAACCAATGTTTGCTTTGTCCAGGATGGTAGTCAGTAGTCACGTGTGGCCGGCTACTAAGCACTTGAAATGTGGTATGACTGAGGACTTTCACTTTTGATATTATTTAACTAGTTTAAACTTAAAAATTTTAAAAACGGATCCTTGATCCTGTTATTAGAAAAATTTTAGAAATGTTTGGAACAACTTGAGTATATGAATCTATTTCAACTGCAAACATTATGAAATCTAAATGCAGATCAAGTATTTTTTTTTTTTTTTGAGACAGAGCTCACTTTGTTGCCGCAGGCTAGTTAGTGGAGCTGCCGTGGGCGCAGCCTAGCCTCACAGCACCCGAAACTCCTGGGCTCAAGCAATCCTCCTGCCTCAGCCTCCCGAGAGTCTGGACTACAGGCATGCCCCACCATGCTCGCTATTTTCTGTAATATTAGTTGACCAATTAATTTCCTTCTATTTATGGTGAGACGGGGGTCTCGCTCTGCTCAGGCTCGGTTTCGAACTCCTGACCTTGAGCAGTCCTCCCGCCTTGGCCTCCCAGAGTGCTAGGATTACAGGTGTGAGCTACCGTGCCCAGCCAGATCAAGTATTTTTAATGCAAGTGTAGTGTCCAAATTGATATGTGCTGTTATGAGAACATTTCAAAATCCTAGTGCAAAGAAGGTAAAAAGCCATAACGAACTTTCCTAATCAGTTGCAAGTTGAAATTATAACATTCTGGGTATATCGGGTTAAATAAATATTCTTACAATGAATGCCACCTGTTTCGTTTGCCTCTTCGCTGTGGCAAGAGGAAGGTTTGCAGGTACATGTGGAGCTCATCATATTTCGACTGGCCATCGCTGGTCTGGCATGGAGAAGGTACCCAATAGACATCATTTGAATTGAATCAGACATGATTAAATCGGCTAGGGGGTTAATGGCCAACAGGGTGTAATGAGGCTATTCGACCACAAGGAGGTGCTCACACCCGAGAGAAATTCTCTCTTCTCCCCACACCTGCGAGAGGGGCTGGGCTGCCTCACCTACCTTTCCCAGGATCCGCCAGTTAAAATACTAGCAAATGCAGCCAATAAATGAACCTGAGATATCAACTTGTTCGTCCTTTTCCTCTTCCCCCTTTACCTCTTTGGGGCAGCTGTTATTTGCCCTTGCAAAGAGCTGCCAGATGGGATGGGAAACAGAGGCCAAACGTTCCTCAGCTTCTAAGCCCCAGACCCCCCCCGGGGCCAGGTGCGAGGCAGGAGGAATTAGGACGCAGAACTGGTTTTGTTTCTCCGATGCAGCCATGCGAAAGAGCCATTTGGCCCAACGTAGTTAAATGAAGCATTATCAGATTTCAGCCTCTGCAGCAGAAGAGGCTGCAGAAGTTCCCACGCTCATGCACTGGGCACCAAGGTGTCCATCGCAGTGTTGTTTATGGTGCTCAGAGTCAAAGGCAGCCTGGGTGTCTGTCGGGGGGTGCAGGTGGGAGCACCCATAGGGTGTCCTTGGCAGAAGACGGACCCTCCAGCAGCCGGAAGAACAGACGAGACTGTCCACACCATGACATGAATGGATCTGAGTGACAACAGCAAAAAGCACAGTGAGACCTACAATCCAATACTGTTGACATAAATTGAAATTCATCCAAACACAAATACGCTGTGTGTACGAATGCCTACAAACAAAAGTCTACGCGGTAAATGTGGTAGAATGGTGGCTTCTGGCAGGGAAGGAAGAGAAGCAGGCAGGCGAGTGGGGGAGATAAAAATGAGTCAGAAATAAGTGAAATGGGTGCAGGATTGAGTGCGAACCATTGAAGGTTACGGGACAGCGGGGACCGGCCGGCCTGGGTTTGAATCCTGGCTCTGCCACTTAACATGGGTGACCTCAGGCAAATTAGCTAACCCCACCTGCCTCATCTATAAAATGGGATAATGATAGTTCCTACATTGCAGGGTTGTCCCAAGCATTAAATGACCTAGAATGTATAGTTTAGAATAGTCCATAGCGAAGCACTATCTAAGCACTGGCTGTTTTTATAAGTTTCATAAACTGAAGATCATGGCGATACAATTCATTTTCTGTACCTGAGGTTAGTAAAAGTGGAAAGGAAATAGGAGGCTCCTGGAACTAGGGGTGGGGACAGAAGGGGAGGTTCAAGAAAAAGAGAAAACGATC